GGTCCTGGGGCACTTAAGCGATGTTCTCACACAAAGGTGAAACCTGTTTGACAGTAAAGCGCTAACATACTCAAGCTGTAATCAGGTTGTCACATTAACAATTAATCTGGTTTTAGCATGCACAGAGACACAGGATTACAGTAACCGCCCATGAATTTAAACAACTCATGAACGTCCAGCAGAAAGCACAGCTACGGTACAATGAACACTCAGAATACAGCATCCCTTCAGATACTGATTCATAAGTCATCATCTCACAGTCAAAGTCTGTCAATACGACAGCAATCAAGCAACATCAAGCAAACTGAACAGAGGTGCAATTATTTAGGGCCTTATAACTTGCGCCAAGAAGAAAACGAAGACGTAAACACAGAATCCAGTTATAAAATGGAATTTAAAGTGCAGAATGTCACAGAATTTGGCAAAATTTGAGTGAATAAATCAAAAGTAGGGCTGTACACAATCAGACTGCGATATGGACTAGTGTCTGTTAATATTAAAGCAAAAAACGACTGTTAATGAAATCTGAAGTCACATGAACTTCATCTCCAGAGCTGCTCTGTGAGTCACTTGATCAGAATTTCACCATTTCATTTGAGAAACCTAGCAGCAGATACACACAGAAATTTCTCTAAATGAACTAAAGTTCAGTTTAACTCAAAAATGATGACAGAAATGTATAAATGTACTCCAAAAGCATTTATTATTGCCTCTCAAAGCAATAATAACAATAATAGTTCAATAATTGTGATATTCCTAAAGAATAGTCATTCTTTAGGAATATCACAATTTTTCTTCTACGTTTTAATTTCAACAGAAAGCCTCTATTATGCAGCACTTTGCTGGCCAAAAATAAAATTTAAGGAATTAATCAAATATTATTTGATTACATTTCAAAGATTTAATTCAATTGTTTAAATTTCATTAACTTTTATTTGATTACCTTTTTTTTAATAATAAATTTGCATTTATAAAACGCAGAATCCAGAACAATTTAAACTAAAGTCTTCATAAATGATTAAAGTTTTATGAATTCAAATTATTAGACCTTCCTTTTTATTGAATTATGTTATTAAATATTTAATAAAACTATTAAAATGGAATCAACAAAAAAATTAAAGGGAAAACATGGAATTTGGGAGGGGGGAAAAAGTTAAATGGAATTCGAGAGAAATAAAACAGATTTCATAGAGCCCTAATTGTATAATAGTGATGCGTCATGACTAACTGACTAGTTTGCACATCCCTATTTTATAGAAGAAAAGTTGCCCTCACAAAATTGGGGGTTTCATTAAAATGATTATTAATGAACATCATTTTGAGCACACAAACATTAAAAAGTTTAATCTCTCATCAGAAGTCAAGCCTATTTATTTAACAGTTCAAATATATTAGTCTACTTGTCTCTCCCTTGGACATTTTGACTGTATGAGTCGCCAAACCAATGCTCTTGATTCATGCTTGTACTGTATATGTTCAGTGTGTGTTTCCTTCTCAAACACAAGAGTAGCACAAGTGTGTTTGGAGTGACAGCACAGACGACTCGTTGGCAGCATCGAGAGCAAACAAAACAAAGGCCTGGAGTTTAAAGCAGAACACATGCTCATACGGCAGGCTCTTCACTTCACTTGCTCCCAACAAAGAGTCACATGAGCTGAAAGTGAACCCGTCTCAGAGGGGAGCGCATTCATACGGCTTAGAAGGACAAGCACATAAAGGAGGACGAGCGGCAGAAGGAGGGCAGCGTCTCTCTGGTTTCCTAACAAACAGGTGAGAAGTAAAGCCACTGGCATATGTAAAAAAATAAGAAAGCTGCACAATACTATGTCTCCAGTAGCAGTGTTTCCTGCATTGCTTTTCAATGGCATCACTCTGATGCTACTGAATTTACAGCATTAACTAAATAAACAAATAAATAATATTGCACCCAATCTGTGAATTGTTTGCCGTCTGAAATGAATTTCATAAAAATAAATTAACTTAAAAAAAAAGTGTACCAAAACATAGTAATGCTAGTGGTCTGTACTTGCAATGTGATTAGTGTAGTCTGATTCACAAACAAATTTTTCTTGGGAGCCATTTAGTTTAAAGCAGGAATTTCCAAACCTTTCTGAAAGCTGAGACATAATATTTACTTTAAGTAAATTTCTCAATAATTAATTATTTATTACATTTCTCAATAATTTAACAACGCATTTGCATGTTCACAGTTATCTGATATCGGTTAATAAAATTATGATATATAAATTATTTTATTTTTTATTGTCTTATTTTGATGATTACTATTTATTTTTATTTTACATTTTTAATTATTAGCTTTTCGCCAACTCCATAACCCCAGTGTGAGAAACCCTGTTGTAGAGAAACATTAAACACCTGTTTGCAGTCTGATGAATCATTCTCTGAATGAATCACTGAATCAGTTAGAGCAGTTACTGAATCAACAACTGACTCGCTTACTGAACTGCAGCTTATCGTTATTTTCAGTGACGTCGTCTCAAAATGAAGCATGTTTTGTGTACTTAAGGTTCTTGAAACTTAAATTAGTGTAAATATTAACTGGTTGTTCATATGATGTCATTGGCAGACAAAGTTATTTTTGAGAGCTGTCTGAAGCATTTAGTAGCGTTGGCAATTCCCTGATTCACTGCCTGACTGTGCTCTCCGTAACATTTTAAAACACGGGGCATTACAATAATTTCAAACTGTGTTCAAGCCAAAACAGACTGGGAGGTTATGGTTATTAGTGTTTGATTTAATATGTTTAATATAGCTCAAGTAGCCATATAACTTGTGTGCAGGACAGAAAACATCCTCTTTGCATTTAAATGCCAAAGCTGTGATTTAGTACACATTCCTCCTAAAATAAATATTTTCAAGCGGACCATAAATGCATTAGCTTCATTGCACTTGCATATATTTATATCCGAATGCTCCAAAAGTCATTCAGCATAGAGTAAAGCACTTACAATCACAGCCGAGTGTCATAAAGTTATGCCATGCATGGAAAATAAAGAGTGTTTAGCTGACTCAAACATAATGTAATACTTAATCACATTACAACTGCAAGACACAGCTTGCTCGACTTGACAACTATTAGGTGTGTCACACCTGCAAGCATGAGCGAGACACTTCCTTTCCTTACATGACGAGCAGACACATCCAAAGGGGAAAAAACGCACAAGTAATATGACCACTGGAAACATTCTGCATGAGTCTATTTCTGAGATAATCATAGTTTTGCCAGCTATACTTAGACGCTGTGGGGTTTGTCCCTTTGCTCACAGTACATGCCACTTTACGGGTGACAATGAGCCAATGCTGGTCTCACGCATCTTCCTGTTATTGTCAGGTGAACCCAAACACCTTGGTAGGCTTCCGCACCTTCTGACCGATGCATTTCCATGCCTTTTCCATTTAAATACTGGATAAAGACTTTGATAGAGACTGCACTCACAAAGAGCCATTTATAGCCAAAGATGTATATTCACTAAGACTTCATCATCATTTTTAAATCCCCTGATATTTCTGGGCTTTCCAAGAGCCTTTTTATGAACAGCTTCAGGTGTGATCAAATAGGACTGGATGTAGTTCAATGTAGTTAAACTAGTAGGGAAGTGTAAAAAAAAATAAAAAATCATTAATCGACCACCGTACATGCCCAGCTGATTAATCACAGTACATTAAGACAATTGTTTGGTATTAATAGTTTTCTAAAATGGTATGTTTAGATATGCAAATGAGGAACTGTCTAATTAAATATGCGCTAATTTGCATACAGTTCCAGAATCTGAACACTGGATAAAGTCAGATACAAAATTCTTGTTTGTTTTTTGGTTTTTTGTCACTCCATGAATCACAAAATACTGTCAATAGGCAGAAAAGACATACATAATCACCATGTTTTTAGGATTATAATGACCCCTCAGCAAAATCCTTCATAATATAGATAGGAACAAAACTGTAAAGTTTGGTTTAAGTTAGTTTCTGGCACAGTGCAGGAAAAAAATATGTATTGGAATAGAAATATGTAATAAGTAGCATGGGTATATTTGTTGCAATAGCCAAAAATGTCATCGTATGTGTCAAAATGATCGATTTTTCTTTTATTCCAAAAATCATTAGGATATTAAAGGGGTCATATGATGCTGCTAAAAAGAACATTATTTTGTGTATTTGGTGTAATGAAATGTGTTTATGCGGTTTAAAGTAAAAAAAACACATTATTTTCCAC